GGTCTACGTCTCTACCTCGACTTTGAGCAAGATGAAAGCTACACGCCCACTCGCATCATCTTCCTCGCCGGCAGCGGCATGAACGACCTGCAAGAATGGGGCGAAATGAGACTTGAAAGCCCACGAGGCTGGGTCTGGGCCGACTTCTCCGGCGTCAGTGACCCAGACTCAAGCGACGACTCAAGCGACGACTCAGACGAAGAAATGCAAGATTCCCACCTCATGCTCCAAGACGCAGCAGCAGCAGCCACCACACAAGCAAACCACCGCCCCACCCTCCCAACCACACCCTCAGACTACGAAAACGCCGCCCCACGACCCCAAACCCGCCGCGCAATCTCAGACGACGCAATGCACCTCGACGACCCCCAACTCCAAACCCCACCCACAACCGCCCACTTCCTCACACCACACGACCATCCCCCCCGCCACCGCGACACCCCCACCCTAGCCCACCACCAAACCCCCCTCGACACAACAACAACAACCCTCACAACCCCAACCCCAACCACAACGACCCCCGGAGGCCTCCCCCGCACCGAACCTCGCCACCCCTTTACCGCCCTCTCCCCTAACGCCCAACACACCACGCCCTCGTCCCGCCCCACCACCCGCCGCAAAACCCCACGCATGCCCATTCTACGCGCGCACCTTGTGCAAATCAAGATTTTGGAAAACCATCAGAATGGAAAAGATACGCATCTTCGTGGACTGCAGATTTTCACGCGGAATGATGAGGAGGAGGGGATAATGGAGGGGGGTGGAAGGGGGGTCAAGGGGATGGGGACGGGGAGGAAGATGATTGTTGGGAGGGGTGGAGAGGGGGTTGGTGCTGGTGCGGGAGTGAGGAGGGAGAAGAGGGAGGAGAGGTGGGATTTGGGTGTTGGGAGTATGGGGGGTTGGGATGAGGGGGGGATACGGTAGGGTTCAGAAGGAGGGAGGGGGAGGATAGTAACATGTTTCTCGTGGTGAAGTGTCTCAATGCTCACTTGGAGATAACAGGGTGGACGTCTAGTGCCGCTATTCATTCGCCAGTGTCGAAAAGTACATACACATACATACTCAAGTCCAAAACAGCGAGGTTGCAAATAAATCTCTTAGAGATTTCAACTATAAAAAAATCCATTCACCACTTGCTACCTAGCACACAAAAGACCACGCATTAATCGTGACCTAAACCGACCTCCACGCGTGCCTTATATTTTTTCCCCAATCCCCGCTCCCTTCCTTTCCAATAATCCTCCCGCAAGAAGTGGGTACATGGTATTATGAAATCGGTCGTTCTAGTTCTGCAAAGAAGAATCTATGCTACGCCAACCCCAGTTCGAAAACAGCGTATGGTGAGGTTTTGAATCTCCACTTCTAGATTTTTAGACGATATAAGCCGCATGTGAAATTTTAGAGAACGACAACCCCTTCAACTCGACAAGTCGTCTAGACAAGGTTCTTGCCCTCGTCCTTGCCAAGCGTGTTCTTCAAATCCTTGGGCTCAGCCTCGGCCTCTGACTTCTCCACTGCCGCATCATCAAGATTCTGAGAAGCTTCCGCCTCGCGCTTAGCTTTGTTTTCAGCTTTCCTCTGCTTCTTTGGTGACTTCTTGCTTGGGCTATCAGCGTTGGCTTGTTGAGCGGCGTTGTTCTGAGCCTTGTCAGCCTCCTCCTTGACCTTCTCAGCACCCTTCTGGGCCTCCTGCTTGGCCTTCTGTCCACCGTTTTCCGCAGCCTGTGCAGCCTCGTTCTTGACATCCTGCCATGAATCTGTGACTTTGCCCTTTACGTCCTGAGCCTTGCCTGCGAGATCGTTGACGACTTGCTTGCCCTTCTTGGTCGCGGATTTGGTGCTCTCGTCAAGGTCCTTGAGCTGTTGGTCGACCTTGTTTTTGAAGTCATCAACAAACTTCCTGTTGGCTGGGCTCAAACTACCGTGCCTTTCATCCTTGATGTGGCCGTTGACGCCCTTGCGGCCGCGAACAGCATCCCTAGCCCTGTTCACAGCAGACGAGATGCCATCCTCGGTAGCATTGTCGAAAGAATCAGAAACGCCTTGAACGCTGCGCGCTGCGTCGCCAGCAGCGTCAGAAACGGTGCGGCGCTTTGGCTGGCCCTGCTTGTTGGGGGTACTTTTCTTTAAGTATGACTTGAAGAAGAAGCGCATGAACAAGAAAGTGAGGGGTGCAAGGTAAATCAAGTTGAGATAGATGGCAAAAGCCTGGCCGGACGTGTCAACGCAAGGAACCTTTCGGTACTCAGTGCGGTACACGATTTTCTCGAGATGTTGATGGTCGTGGAAGAATTTCTGAACGGGGTTGAGATGGGCGGATTCCGTAGACGCAGCGGCGGCGGTGGCGGTGGTGGAGGCGGCGGCGACTGCTTCTCTGCTCAGAGACTTGTACCAACCGTGCCAAGTAGGAACCGCCTGGCCAGGGTACAAAACGTTCTCAGCAAGGCCTTCGTCACCTGCTGCGCGGTAGATGAACCTCCGAAGGAATGCTACAGCTATGCCACTCGAATCGGCGACACCAGGAGCATATACCTCAATGTCCGGGGTAACAACGGATGAGACTGCTGAAGTGATGGCTGAGGTGACAGTGGACGCTGATTGGGGAGCAACGCTCGTGGCGACATTCTTGGCGACCTTGTACGCGACGGTGACAGGTACGCTGTACGCGACAAAGAGGTGGACGGCAGCGAAGGCAGATCCAACCAAGAATTGGGTGATCTGGAGGGTCGTGAGGGTTCGCTTAACGGCATTGGGTACGCGGTAGCCAAGGGCGGAGACAGTGTAGTATGTGTACTATTGCGAGTCAGTAACAAGCAATTACGAGAACAGGAGCATATTTACCATCATGGCGTGGATTCCAGAGTTGACGAGCGCGAACATCCAGATGGGCGGGGACATGAAGCGCATACCAGCCCACATGGACAACATGGCGCCGGCATGGTGGTATTTTTGCAGCGTGGTGCTTCGCTTGCCCTTTGCGAGGATAATGGCCGTGTCAAGAACTTCATAGAACTTGGAGAGGTAGAACCACCAGCCCCAGAAGGCAAGGCCCTCGTTCCAGATTCTGCCCACGTCGGTCGTGTCTGGTAGGCCGTTGCTGCCCACGAGAATGTCCGAGTTCAGGCTGGACCAGGTGTGGTTGTCCGGGTGGTACGTGACGGCGTCTCCCAGACCGCGTGGGCCGTGGATCTTGCACAGGGCGTCAATGGTGCCCTCGACGGCGTGGGGCTCGCTGTAGTGGGGGAAGGAGCGCTTCAGGCAGCGGACCATGGCGACGCAGGTGACGGCCGAGTAGACGGCCAGGAAGACATTGTGGAAGATGACAAAGGCGCGGAAAGGACGCGTCTTTGCAATTCTCCAGGGCTTGTTGCCATGCTGGCGGTTGTACCAGTTGGCGTAGGTGACGGTGACAAAGTAGATGGAGGCGATGTACAGGGGCACCTTGTAGGACAAGGCGCCCTGGTAGATGTGCTCAGGAATCGGGAAGGGGTTCGCAAAGGTCGCCTCGCCGTGCCATGGTGGTGGAATGGGCAACGGCGAGGGGTCTGGGGGGAACTGGAAGACGGCTGCTGGCGGCCAGTCGACCGGGTGCACCGAGGGGCCTGCGCCTGACATTGTTGGTGATGGGTGCTTGCGTGTATGGTGGGCAGAGCAGCGTCGCGTCGAGAGACAGCTCTGGGGTTTTGCACGAGTCGGGCAAGCTCAATGGCTGGCAGGCGCTGATGTCACTGGAACGGCGGCTCGTAGCCTTATCGTAGGGTGTGTGCAGTGTGCAGCAGGGTGGGCGGGGCTGGCAGCTGTCAAGACGCAAGAGTGCTCCGGCGCGTCTTTGTTCGGAACGCGATGTTTTGCCTGCCCTCTCACAGTCGTGCTTGGCGCGGTACAGTAAGGGTCTGGGGGCGCAACAGCGAGCAGCGTGCAGCCTGACAGGGCAGATATATGTAGAGATGGCAATCAATGGTTCGCGCGCACAGATGAAGTCGGGGGCGGCCACGTATCGAGCACTGGCACCTCGGGCGGGACTCTGGATACAGCAGGCAAAGACGCTTGATGGGCGATGGGCGTCTTGGTGTTGGAGAGAGATTTAGACCTGCTTCGCTACGGCGCGGGCCAATCGCGTATTCATGACGCACCGAGGCACACTCCAGCCACAACACATCACTGGCCCGCTTGCCCTCTGCACCCTTTTTTTACCATCGCAGATCGTGTAAGAAACTGCACTCTTGTCCAAGTAGTGTCTAGAAGCACCCAGACGCTTCGCAAGGCTAACGCAATTGAGCTGTTGTGCCCATTCTCTGTACGTGCTTGATTTGAAGCAATGAGACTCTGCAGTCATTATCGTGTGTTGAGCTCGCAAAAAAGTTTTGGCAGGGATGCCCAACTTTACCATCTGGGACCAGGGACGCCACTGACGCCACTCATGGTAATCCAACTCTTGCGCACGCTCCCCTTTCTGCCTGTCCTCCGTCTGTGCCGCATGCATCTTCTTAGCGAACGAGATTGTCTGCAGCATGTAGTCATGTACAGTGACGGGTGTGGGTACATGATCATAAACACAGAGCGTCTGTCATGGGTGAATGACCGAAACAATCATCTTGTAGCCCGTTGATTGTCGAGCATGTCTGCGCATCAACGCTAGTTTCATGTCGTTGCATTCGCAATTGAAACTATGTGTCCAGAGTACAGCTCAAACTCGGGTCACCGAAAAAGTCGTGTCGATGCTTGAAACTTTACAAGACACAGCAGATACACATGGTTTAGGTTTGAACATATGCAGCATTGATATTGTCAAAGTTGACCACTCCCACTCCCAACGCAAACCCACTAGCGATACCCCACCCGGTCACACTTCCCCCACAACCCCACTTGAAAGTATGCACGTCTGCTTGAAGATCAAAGCACACATTCGCCTGTGTTCTGCTCGCAGCTCTCCTCCAAGCATAGATTATGTAGTAAATTAACTATAAATTTTTCCATTCTTTCATCAAATCTCCTCCTCAGGAGCCTTGGCGCAATGGTAGCGCGTTGGTTTTCGGTCTTGTGCCTGTTCACCAAAGGTTGAGGGTTCGGTTCGTAAGCCCTTCACTTGTCACAATGATTACCTACTAACTGTTCTCGCAGAGCCCCTTGGGCTTCGGTCTAGTCACCTTTGACAAGTCGTCTCTTTTTTGCTTTTTGTTGGGTTGGTGCTGATGTGGTGTATGGGAAGGCATTGGTGCGGTGGTGCGGGAACTGAGCTTTTTGTGCTAGCGTGCGCCAGGAGAACAACGAACATCACATGTTAAAAAAATATGTAGGATTGTTGCGGTGTCTAGAAGAGGGCAGGTAGATGGCGTGTAGGTATGCTTAGCAGAAAGCTATGTGTAGTAAAGGTGGAGAGTATCAACCAAGTGTAAACGGGTAGACAATTCTGATACGCACTTTGCATATGGTATATACGACTACAGAGAAAGCAACTTTAGTAGTTATACATAGCATTTCAACAACTGCAACATTACCCTCACTAAACAGAGGAGAATTGCAGAGTGATCTGCACGTACACTGAGCATGATGTTACGTGTCAAATGACAGATTAGTTCAGCCATCGAGCTGTCCTTGAGAAAAGTTTAGTACATACTGGAAAAGAATATAGGGTTCTAACGTCGCGCGAGAAGCGTGTTGTACGTACCTGTTGTGGCAACAAGGATATATCCAGCGCAATAGCAATCCTCGTAATGGTATACGATGTACATACACCTGCTATACAACTGCTATACGCCACTGAGCACACCCGCTGCGTGTCATGAGTCTTTCTCTCTCCATTCGACACTCCAGGGTAGGTACATGTACGCCACTGCTAGTGGTTCAAAGGCGCGTACTTGATACCCACAACAAAGCATCGCAAGCATTATTTCCTGCTTCAGGAAGACTTCAAAGTGACTATGTGTACAGGTTGTCTCGACACGCTCTTCATACCACACCGAACAAGGGCAAATATAGCACGACAGATGCCAGCGGCAAGAAGATCCAAGTCCATCAGGAAAGCACTCTCTCAAGGCGGTGTGACGATGGCATGGTACTAGGGCAGCGACTAGGTGCCACCAAAGCCGATTCATATCGAATTCTCATCCTCGTAACCGCTAACACATCTTGCAGTCTTTCTTCCTGTAGTAGCCACGCCTACAGCGAGGGTTTAACTTAGCGGCCATTACCCCGTTGTGTCAGTGTACTAGCAACCTCCTGAAGCCGCGGGGTTACTTTGGAGGCTTGTCTTGCAAGAAGAAAAGAGACGACTGGTCAGAGGTGACTAGACCGAAGCCCAAAGTATTGAATAGTTTGAGTAATTTGCGTGGACTACGAGGGCATCATGGCAGAGGTATGATTAAAGGACGAGCTCTGTTTATAGAAGCTTCGGTGTAGCATAGGACACTGAGATAGTGAAACTTTACGTCTGAAGGACGCCTGGCTGCTGTATACTATTGCGTGATATGGCTCGCTTATCATGTCATATGTGGTATGATCGGTTGTAAGAGCATCTCGGAAATGTTTCAATTTCGCATAGAGGATATCAATAGGTCTAAAACTTAGGTTTACTGCTCAAGGGGATTGGCGGTGGCGCTGCTGGACCTCCGGCAAGCTCTTTCTTCTTTGGCGGTGGAGGCGGAGGTGCCTTCTTGCCTAATCCACCCGGCGCAGCCTGTGTGGGTGATTGTGGTGGGGGGGATGCGCTCGACGAACCGAAGCTGTTGACCTTTCCCGCAATTCCGTACTTTGAGTTGAGCCCACTGGCGGCCTTCCACCCACTGGCAACTTGATCTCCATGTCTCTGCTGGAAGTTGCTTGCGGTGGTTGCAGCACCTCTCACATCTGCAGCATTCACCTTGGACGGATCCTCGCGAAGACTACTAGCTGTCCGTAGTGCTGCCTGCTTATCGGCCCAGGACGTACCTGTCGTAGGCGCTGCTGCAGGTGCAGTTGGTGTCGACATCTTGGAGAATCTACTCTGCAACTCGTTCATTTGCGAGCCATGACCTACAGCAGCTGGAGGTGGTGTCGACACACTCGATGCCGAGTTCTGTCTTCGAGGTGGTACAGGTGGTGATGCTGTCCTTCCAATGCCAAAGCCAGGGACCGAGACACCAGCCTGGCCCAACCGATTCAAGGCACCCTGGTTCAGAACACCCTGTGAGGGCGTCCCTTGGTGTGTAGCTTCGTTGTACGTTGGTGGGGGAGGTGGGGCGTTCGCATCGGGGTTCGAGTTCTGGCGGGGAGGCAGTCGCGGCGGTAGGCTGGGTTTTGGCCTGGACGCAGGCACTGGAGGAGACGCAGTGTTTGGCCTGAAGGCAGGGGGTTTCGGCAGATGTGAAGTGTCGAGTCCTGTTGTGTCCGGTCTGTATGGCCCGGGAGGAGGCTTGTTGGCTTCTTCTTCCGCTCTCCTCCTGGCTTCCTCCTTCTCCTGCAGTCTTTGCTTAGCCGAGCCCGGCGGTGCCGCAGCTAATGAGCTCGATGAGCCTGCGACTGGAGAAGCACTGTAGTCGAGCCGTTTTGGGGGAGGAGCAAACGTTGAAGGGTCTTTCAACGACGACAGAGGTGTCGACACATGCTCACGCGCGGCTTCGGCATGCGTGTCCTTGCCTTGGGCTTTTCCCACCCACCCTTTCTATGTTGGTCAGTCATGGCTTCGCTCCTTGGGTGAATGTGCAGGGCGAAGTAGGCGTACCACCTGACCGAGTCTACCTTCGCTGGCTCCGCCGCCAGAATTGCTGGCCGCGCTCTTCTCCGGATGCCAGCCGCCTTTGGCAACATTCTTGAAGCGATCTAAGGTCCCACGTTAGCATGCATCTCACGTGCACTGCGAGGAAAGCGGTACGCACCCATGTTCGTGCAGTCGTCGCAACTTCGACATGGTGAATGTTTGGGTGCAACCGACAATGGCGACGCGGCCCGATGAGCTAAGCCAAGCAACGCTCCCAGTTGAGCCGACTTGACCGCCGGATTTGAGAGTTTCTGCAAGTGGATGACCCCCTTGCCAGATCATCTCAAGATTAATGATCCACGCGTACCGAGCAGGACGGTGATCCACTCGACAATCAGGATGGTCGCACTGGGATTCTCTTCTCGATTTGTCCTACCCGAACACCGCCAACCACGCTCTGTAAGCGGACTTCGCAACAACAACTGCACATGCGGCTGTTGCCGTGTTTCAGAAGCTACAAGCATGTGCTATTGGTCGCTTTCCCTTCCTATTAAGTCTGAATAGTTGCAGATAGGCGTCTCAAGCGTCTCAGACCGTCTGCACACCGTGTCCTCACCAATCACAGCTTACTTGAAACAGCTCCAAGAGCGGATCTGCAACTCTAGCGGTATCTCTGCAGTAAGTCTGACATGTATTCGGGAAGGCCTGTATGGTCTCTCAGTTGAGCCCAACGTCCTTTTGATGTTGAACAGGACAAGACGTGTCCAAGCACACTGACTGTAGACTGAAGACACTGAAGGATACATATAACAATGCTCAGCCTCGGTCACCGACAACTTGTGAACGCTTTCCAGGCTTCTTTGTTGATCACCCGAGTTGATTACACTAAAAATATGTTGCGAATCCCGAGTAGGCGGAACTGGCGGGGTCGTTCGTTGTTTCTCACCTTGCACGCCGCGAGGCTGAGCCCGTATCTTCGACCCTCATCCTAGTCCCCAGCCAACCACATTACCGTGTACAGCCGGGATCTCGGACTTGGACTTGTTGGCTGTACAGCTCGGCACGAATGTCGCTAGTTAAGTGTGAGATGCCTGCGCCCGATCCAGCTCAGGCATAACAAAGACTTGCTCTTCGTAACTTCAACAACAATCCACGTCTGCTTTCCTCGTATGCTTCGCGAGCGTCATGAATACTTGAAACCTGAACCGCATTGTTAGCTACTGCAAAAGAAAGATCTAACGCCGTCCGTCCGTGGTATTTCTCACGTCATCGATTGGACGCTTTCCTAAGACACGGTGCTCAAAGTCCGTCGCCGGCCCCGCATCTCTTGCTACTGGACGATAGTATCGGACTAGCAGTACTCTCCAGTGCCCGCTTCACGAACGGCTGGTGAACAGGCATCTTTTTGGTCATTTTCCAGACCAAGAAATCTATTACGTCCTCTAATAGCACCCGGCCGCCCATCAGTCTGACATAACACCACCCGATTGCCTTGGAGTAACAGTATCTCTCGTCAGCCTCTCCTGTATTGGTACAGCCCCAATCATGGCTCCCCAACAGGATTACAGACTTGATGGAAAGAGGAAACATGGACGCTTCCCTTATCCACCCCGTTCGTCAACAGTAACAGACGACGAAGACGACGACAGCGATACCGACGAGGACGAGGACGAGGACCAATCATCGTCAACTGTTGCCACTTCGCACTCTCAAGTACCGATGGCGACGACCACCACAGAAACTTTGGCTGACCCCGCTACCGCATACATTCCAACAAGAGGAGGCGGACATACTCCGGGCCCTCAATTCACAGGTCTTCCACCTTGGGCAGGTCCAGTTCCACAATTGACGCAGAGCTTGCAAACTTCCAGGATCCCGCCTCAATCAGATTATGCCGGTTCTACAGCATCCTCAGCGTCGCCGACCTTGATCGGGGAAGATCCTACAACACTCCCTTCGTCTACCACCATTGATGGCCTTGGCGGGCGACCCACTTCCGGGCTTGGGACGACGCAACGACACACCAACAATATACCGTTGTATGTTGTCGCTGCAATTGTTCCTGTGGTTGTGCTAGTCATCATCGGTGCCGTCTTCTGTATATGCTTACGCAAACGCAAACGACAAAGGGGGGTGGTCAGAGCGGTCGAAGCGGTCGAAGCGGTCGAAGCGGTCGAAGCGGTCAGAGCAGTCGAAGTAGTCGAAGCCGCGACTCCAGAGATGAAGATGCAACCCAAGCCCATGACAATGCCATATGTTGCACCTCCAGTCGCCACACGACGGCCCATCTCATCGATCCAACTACCACCTACTTCACAACCAAGCCAACTTCAGCCTGTCATCCTGGGGCCGATCCTGTCCAGTTCGAACGGCGCGTACATGACGGGTATGGACACGTCTGATGTCATTTCAATCAC